GTGCTCTAGAGTCTAGATGTATGTTGTAGTTCCCCAGTATGGGTCAGGTCATACTGATGTAATTCATTATGTCATGTTTCCTTCACTTAGGTTATCTGTCTTTTTCTTTGCCACCACCCACCCAGGGGGTGTGGGTCATCATGCTGTCTGTTGATGTGTTTTTCTTTTATGCCAATTTACCTTACAGAAAAGTGATGCATTGATTTGAACTAGGATGCCTTGTGTTGCTATGCAGAAGCAATCTTGGCCAAATCAACTGTCATTTTCTTCTCTAGGTGAGCATGATCAGTCACTGATAAAAAGCGAACCTGATCTTTTGACAATTCCTGGTGATGGCACGGATGTCTGGGAAATTGATCCTCGATTTCTGAAATTTGAGAGCAAAATTGCATCTGGGTCATATGGGGACTTGTAAGTTTATCAGTTTCCAGGCACATTTTCTTTTACTCCAGTTTATTCGCAGTATCCCACTGGTGTAACGCCGTTGACTTTTTGAGAGAAAGGAGGAAGATCATTTGATCTCTTGTTTTCAGAGAAATAAGTGGCTCACGAGGAATGGAATGAAAAATCTATTTGATCTCGAAGTCCTCATTATTTTTTCCTCCTTAAGTTAGTAAATATGCATCCATGTCCCAACCAAGAATTGAAGCCTGCCTTTGTGATGGAATTAGATCCCACTCAAGCCAGTAATTGGGGTTTTTGAGTTCAACTAACTGTATCTTTCGATTGTTTTAGGTACAGGGGTACATACCGTACTCAAGAAGTAGCCATCAAAGTCCTCAAGGCTGAGTGTGTAAGTTCAGACGTGCAAAGAGAGTTTGCACAAGAAGTATATATTATGAGGTTAGTGAAAATTTTCTCTGTTGCTGTGAGCTGCACTAGTTGGCCTTCTTAGGATCTATCTTTGATTTCCTGTTTTTCTATTAAATTAACCTTGAGATTCACTTAAAATATATCAATTGTTCTAGGTAATGCTGATAACCAGAATGGTTTTCTTAATCCTGTTTTTATGTTGGGGATAATATTATGATGTGGGGTATTCAAGAGGCAGCCCATGATATGTTGGTCAGAATGTTGTTTTGGTGGTTATATGTGCAAGCTATAATACGGAAGTAACGGAATATGATGTTCATATTTGCGTTATATGTTTATGTCCAAGCATTTATTTTTTTATTATAAATTTATATGGTATGTGTGTAGAAGTAAAAGTATATTCCGAGACCAATATAATAGTACCAGGCCAATATTTTGATAGTATTGTGGGTTCTCAAATAGAGGGCAGCGATATGGAAGGACATTGTTTTCTACCCAATTCAATATTTTAAGTAACTAAATGTGCAACTATTGGCAGTGAATTGGCTTTGCATGAATTCCGAGGGATAGAGAGAGAACCACTTTGTAATTTCCATTCCAAACTGCTATTCCATCTGTATTCTTTCTCACCTTCCTATCTCTCTATCTAACTCTTTTTTTTAATTTTCGGCGCGGGTGGGGTGGGGCGGTTGGTTGTTCCATGCACGCGCATTCATTGACATCAGTGTGCACAGATACATGCATACAGTGGGTCCAGTTCTACCACCTGATCAGGAAGATGTACGGAGATCTTGTCAACTGTACTTGGCAGGACTTTTAATTCTCTCTCTTTCTAGAAAAGAATTAATGTGTAGTTCCAGTTTCTCTGGTTTTCCCTGTGATAAAGTTATTTTATAGTTCCTGTTTCTCTGGTTTTCCTTGTGATAGAGTTATTTTATTGTTCCGATTTCTCCAGTTTTCGCTGTGATAGTTATTTTAGGCATGAATGCTGGCCCTATTGTTCAATTGATTGAGCTTTTGCTCATAAGAAAGCACATCTCTGCTTCAGTGACTCCTTTTGGCACTTGCAGGAAAGTTCGACACAAGAATGTTGTACAATTTATAGGTGCATGCACAAAACCTCCTAGCTTGTGCATTGTAACAGGTATATTCCAAGTTTCTTACAGATGACCTGTGTGATGCACACATGCACGAGTTGTTGCTTAAGGAATTGACTTTGTTATGGTTAATTTCAGTTAAAACTTTCATGCTATCTTTTCTACCTTACTTTTTTCTTCGTTCCAGAATATATGTCTGGTGGAAGTGTGTATGACTATCTACACAAACTAAAGGGTACTTTTAAGCTTCCATCTTTGCTAAAAGTAGCAATCGATATCTCAAAAGGAATGAACTACTTGCATCAGCATAATATAATTCACAGGGACTTGAAGGCAGCAAATCTTCTGATGGATGAGAATGAAGTAAGATGCTCTCTTATTGTTATTTGTTCCATACTTGTGATTTAGACTCTGAATTTCCGGCATCTTGGATCTCATTTGTCTGTTTCTACAGTACAGAACTTATCTATGTAACTGTGGAACAGTGTGAAAAGTTTTGAATGTTTACTACGAAAGTAAATACATATATCTTTGACACCCCCTCCATAAGAAAAAAAAAAAGTCCTGTCATTGTTAATTGTTAATGTCTGTCGTAGGACAAATAGATGTATCACCTTCATTTCTTCTTGATAGTAAGAGTTCCCCTTGGGCCTGGTATCCCTCTGCAAATTCATCTATCTTATCTTGCCTTTTACCTTATGCTTTGGACTTCAGGTGGTTAAGGTGGCTGATTTTGGAGTTGCCAGAGTGAAAGCTCAAACTGGAGTTATGACGGCAGAAACTGGGACATATCGGTGGATGGCTCCTGAGGTGCACCTTTTGTACATTGAGTGTTAGAGCTTTTACTATTCAATTTTTTGTGAACTGATATCTGTTTTAAGTGTCCTTGGTACAGATTTAAAACTTTGCATGTGATGCTTGTTTTGTAGTTGCCACACCTGCATGATTAAACCACCAACGTTGGTTTTTATAGTAGTTTGCTTTTCCTACACTCCTTTTCATGTGATTTGAGATTGTGGGCTTCTTCATTGGAGCCACACCAGTCCAGTCATTTTGATGATTTACTTTCTTTAGCTACACAGTTGTGTGACTTGTGTCACATGAACACTGCTGTCCTAACAAGTCTGATCTCTATACCTTCACACCTTGAGGGTGGTAGGAGACACTAATCAATCTAACAACTAGTTGTGGTGGAGAATTTAGGTACAGTTCAAAGTGGTCGTTATTATGATTTTCTGGAGGTTACTAAAGACTAGCCTTGTTGGTGCACTAGAGTTCTGAAAATGTGTAAGATGAACAAATGTGAAGCAGTGGTGAAGACATGGTTTGATAGCCGCTTAAGAAATTTGCTGTTTCTTGCCTTCCAGCAACTTGCTTCTATACTGTCACAGGTCTCTTTGGCTTGCTCGTAAAATGTGCCTTCCTCCCTCCCCACTCTCCCCTCCCTCTATCTTTCGTGAATCATTCAATCAGCATCTGTAGGGTCATGTGGTACAAGGTTAGTAGTTTCAGCATTAGACTGATTCAGTTCTTTCTGTTGTCAGTCTGGCTCCCCTCCCGTTTCCCTTGAAGTGGGTGGCACTTTAAACTCTAGTCAATTTAGTGATCTGAATTTATTTTTAAATATTTTTTTAACTATGCCACAATCACTGTTATGATTTTGTTGTAGAGGTCATTTTAGGGCTACGATGTTTTCGTTTTAGTTAGGGAGTACAGTATTGGAGAAGAATCACTTGTGAAGCAATATGACAGCATGGTGTCATAGCCGCTTAAAATTTCTGACATCTCTTGCCTTTCTCCTTTGCTTTTTCTTTTCTTGCGTGCATTGGTGAATGGCATAAATTATATTTATTATCAATGTGAATTTCACTATTATTCTCTCAGTTGGAGGTCAACCATCTCATCTCATCATTTGCTTATGTTAATTCGTTTTGCATTGAAGGTTATAGAGCACAAGTCCTATGATCACAAGGCTGATGTCTTTAGTTTTGGTATCGTATTATGGGAGTTGCTAACTGGAAAGGTATTGTGTCATGGAAACAAAAGTCAGATCAGGTACTGTAGCCACATTGTCTTCTGTACGTTAATAACTATATTCCTTCCTTTTTGGCTTGCCAGCTTCCATATGAGTACTTGACCCCGTTACAAGCAGCTGTTGGAGTTGTCCAAAAGGTGAACATCTACTCCACTATATTCGCTTAATATCTTGTTTATTACTAATATTTTTTAGCCTTTTTTTTTTTTTTGGGGGGGAATTAAGAACCTTTTACCAAGATATCCACCAATGCTCGAGACTAGTTAATAGTTGTCATGTATTGAATGTTTACTACTTTGCCGAGAAAAGATGACATGGAGGCGCTCTCGTTGATTTGATTTCAGGGTCTACGGCCTACTATACCGAAACAGGCTCATCCGAAGCTTGCTGAGCTGCTTGAGAGATGCTGGCGGTGTGACCCAACTTTAAGACCCGACTTTTCTGTGATAACAGAAATCCTGCAGCAAATAGCGAAGGAGGTGTTGGTCTAATGTTAACCATGTTTGGATGTTCTTATATTGTTTATAAGCAATGAATTTCAAAACATTTGAAGTATAGCTCCAGAAAGTGTTTAGAAAATTCCAGAAATAATTTGCTTAACTCACTCCATTTGCTTCCTCAATATTATTGGTTTTGACCATTTATTCTGTTTCCTCAACTCCTTTTTTGTCTTTTTTTAAATAACTCGTTGTCTTGTGACAAATTTCATCCCGTTCTTCATTGGTAATAAAGATGACGCCTGGAATATGTGGAACAGGTTGGAGATGCCGGAGAGGATCGACACAAGGACAAATCATCGGGGGGATTTCTTTCCATTCTCAGACGGGGACATCATTGACAGGAGATGCAACATTTATAACATACTTACATTCGTCTAATTAGGGGTCATTTGCTCTCTACTTTTTCATCTGCACTGTACAGCAATTTTCAACATTTTTTTCCCCTGCTATAGATTTACATTACGAAAGTGTGTCCTTCTTTCTGCAATGTATCATGATAGCATCAGTTGGTGAGAAGATATGTTCTATAACTTCTGTGAATTCTAGTCATTCGCTTTTTGTGATGTAAACTGGGAACTGTGCGTGCCTGATTGATTTCAATTCTAAGTAGCTCCAAACATATCTTCCATATGTTTTGCAAGTTTTCTTCTTTTATTTTTTTTTTCAAATTCATCTTTTAAATTTTCATGTATTAGAAACACCCATAAGCTGCAACCGTTTTCAGTTTTTTTCTTAAACAAAGTTGCAACTGTTTTTTTCTTGAACTTTTAATTGTCTTAGTTAAATTCTTCCATCAATTTTCATAGTTGGATCAACTAGAGATTAGCTTAATCTAATCCATTTAAGCGTTGATTTAATGGTGAAAATATATAGATGAAAGGACTTATTGAAGACAAAATTGATAGTTGAGAACTAAATTGGGACAATTGAAAGTTCAGAAAATAAATTAAAATTGTAGTATGTTTTAATTGGTTTCCCATGGGAAAAATTATACAAAGTAATTACATTTGGGAGAATGAGAAACCATCTAAGCTTTGAACAAATGGATAAGTGGTATGTCACGACACCCATATATAGGGTTGGATAGTTTGCTTGATTATCTAAAATATAAAATAGGTCAGACTTTAATAAGTCTATCCAATAGTCTCAAATAACTTCATTCCACGTTTACTAATTTCTTTCTCAAAATCATTTACATTGTGCAGTGACTTTAAACACGATTTATCTCTAGTTTACTTATAAAATCATAATCGGAGGGAGTTTACATTGTAGTCTATTTTATGATATTGGTTCTAATAGCATGAGTGAATTAGAGATTGCTTCCAATATTCTTGTTCTCTTTCTCTGTATTTCACTAATTAGCAGTGCATTAGCAAGAAACTAGTGTCCATAAAATAAGTTTTACTTGAATAAGTGATCCAATAAAGAGGAATTTCACTGAAATTTATTTTGATATCATATATATATTACCGAAACAACTATATTGTAACGTTTTTGAGGTCCAACGAAAAACACTATCAAAGGTATACAAATTTGAAAAACAGTCTTACTCAATTGTTTTATTCATTTCATTTTTGTTCTTAAATGACGTTCCACATGCATCCCTATGCGCATAGTTAGAACCACTGAATAAAGGAAGGATTCAATTCCCAAAAATGGTGGAGACATACCCTAAATTTATTGTTATTTATTTGGGTGCCCCTCTAAACTAAAACCATATAGTCTCATCACATACCATGTTGTTCTGTTACTGGAAACTCGTCATTTTCGCCACCCGTTCACTTCTTCATTCTCAACATTCCATTTTCTCTGCAAATTTTGAAGCCCACTTTAATGGCGGTCTCGCCGCATGCGTCCAAGCTCTTATACACATCTTCCATTTAGAAACCGGGGAAATACTGTTAGGATATTGTTATGTTTCCATAACCGAAATCTTCCTTCGTCACAGGTCGCTCTCTCTCTGTCTCTCTCTCTCTCTCTCTCTAAGATGCGTACTCGAAAATAAAACCTTAGATTTTTGATTAATGGATTTCTCTTCTTCCTTTAAGAATCTTAAATCTCATGGTTCATACAAACACTCAAGAAGGATCTCAGCCGGTGGTGTCGTCGACGATACACATCGCGAACAACAACCAATTCTCTCCGATCACCACCGGGACAGCACAACTGACGATCATAATCAGATAATAATGAGAAGCACAAACTCTAACGATCTCAACGACGACCGCCGGGAAGTTATCGTGAAAATAGACGGTGACGATTACATTAGCAGTAATAACGTCATGGAGGCTGATCATAATAAGATTTGGCACGAAACCACCTACGATTTCTGGAAAGATGATGAGAGAAGTGGCAACAATGGAAATGGACGGGGACAGGGATTTGAGTTTCAGCAAAAACGTAGTGACGTTGTGGACGACCCGCCGTCGAAGCTGATTGGTCAGTTTTTGAATAAACAGATGGCGTCTGGGGGTGAGATGTCGTTGGACATGGATTTGGAGATGGACGAGCTACGTCATGGTCATCAAAACAACCACCACAATTTTCCGCCTATTTCCGAAACGGAAAATAGCAACCATATTAATGGTAAAGCTTCGATTTCAAAAGATTTAAGAGTTTCTTTCCAAGACCCCAAACTAAACGTGGTTGATATTGCGTCTGAACCTGTTGAAAAGAGGTATAAAGACAAAGGTTCATCCGAGGACAATAAGGATGAACACGTACAACAACATCATAACAGGAGGCGATCGTCAAATGTGCCCGCGGTTAATGATAATAATGGCAATGGCGGTGGCGGTGGCGGTGAGGTGTTGAGGTGTACGTCGTTCCAGAAGAGAGCAAGTATGATGAGGATGAAGACGAAATCGAGGTTGATAGACCCACCACAGCCGGAGATGAGATCACAGAGAGTTGGGAAGTCAGGTCCAATGAGGTCTGGGATGTTAGGTAGGGCTTCTGGGATGTTGGGAAAGCTAGGTGACGATGAAGAGGATGACTCGTTATTCGATGAAGATCTTCCTGATGAGTTTAAGAAGGCAAAACTTAATGCATTGACTCTGGCTCAATGGGTTAGTCTTGTTTTGATTGTAACAGCTTTGATTTGTACTCTTTCAATTTCTAAGTGGAAGGAAAAAAAGCTACGGGGACTTGAACTCTGGAAATGGGATGTTTTGGTTCTTGTCCTGATATGTGGAAGATTGGTGTCCGGTTGGGGGATTAGAATTGTTGTTTTCTTTATTGAGAGGAACTTTCTTTTGCGTAAACGAGTTCTGTATTTTGTTTATGGGGTGAGAAAAGCAGTTCAGAACTGCATTTGGTTGGGTTTGGTTTTGACTGCTTGGCATTCTATGTTTGATAAGAAGGTTGAGGGTAGTAATAAGTTCCTTTGGTTTGTGAATAGACTTATGGTTTGTATGCTGGTGGCTACATTGTTATGGCTAGTGAAGACCCTCATAATTAAAGTCCTTGCATCTTCCTTCCATGTGAGCACTTTTTTTGATCGAATCCAGGATTCATTGTTCAATCAATACGTGATTGAAACGTTATCTGGTCCACCATTGATTGAAATACACAACAATGAGAAAGAAGAAGAGAGGACAATGGCTGAGGTATGGAAGCTTCAAAATGCAGGGGCTACCGTGCCCCCTGACCTCAGGGCATATGCTTTCCCACCAACTAAGAGTGGGAGGGTGATAGGGGGTGGAGGACCTCTGAGAGCACCAGTTGGAGGAGTGAGCCTTAAAGTTTCCGGCCCAATTTCCAAAATCAGAATGAGGGGATTACAATTGATCACTTGCATAGGATGAATCCTAAGAACATCTCTGCCTGGAATATGAAGAGGCTGGTGAAAATAGTTCGACATGGTGTCATATCTACCCTGGATGAGCAGATACTAGATACAACACAAGAAGATGAGTCTACAACACAGATTAGAAGTGAATTTGAGGCAAAAGTGGCGGCTAGGAAGATATTCCAAAATGTGGCAAGGCCTAGGTCCAAGTAAGATTTTATGTACCACCGCTTTACTGTTTTCTTGTATTCCTCTCCCTGTTGAAGCTGACTGCATTCATTGATTTCATTCTAGCTGGGCAAGAATTTAGATTTTGCATTTCGATCGTATTCTGGACCTTCACACAAGACCGAGCCACCATACTTGGGCATGCTTCAATCAATGATAAGTGATTTTCAAGTTAAAGGATTGATCAGCTAATAAACTCATTGGACAATGTTCAAATATAAGTTAATTCAGTAAATTAGATTTGCAGTTAATTGCATAAAATCCAAATTGGTTATATGTGCAATTTTTTGAATTTTTATTACACATAAATGGAATGGTTGGTCTCTACATGCTGTTCATCATTGCTAGAATCTCTGATTCTCTTTTGTTTCTGTTTCCTGCTCCAACCATGTAGGCCTCATGGTGGTAATATGTTACAATCCAGTTAAGCTATTGATCATCTCTTTGACTGGTTCACCTGCTGGCCAATTTACATTATCTTCATTTGATCTTGTAGCTAGTTTCAGATTATTGAGAATCTTAAAATATATTTTCTGGCAGGTTCATCTATATGCAAGATTTGATGCGTTTCTTGCGAGAAGATGAGGCTTTGAAGACCATGAGTGTCATGGACGGATCATCTGAAAGCGAAAGAATCAGCAAATCAACCTTGAAGAATTGGGTGGTAAGAATTGGGGCAGTTGTTGAAATTTTTGGGTACAAAGAAATCATGCACATGCACACAACTTTCCCTGTGGTGCAATTTATTAATTGAATGATAAGCAAGGCTCTACGAAACATACATGCATTACAGATCTATGGTACAATGTGACCAAGCAAGTAATTGGATAGTGCGTTACACCTGATTCTTGCAGGTCAATGCTTTTAGAGAACGAAGAGCGCTTGCCTTGACACTTAATGATACAAAAACAGCAGTCAACAAACTTCATCATATGGTGAATGTACTGGTTGGCATCACTATTGTGGTTATCTGCCTTGTAATACTAGAAATTGCAACAAGCAAATTTCTACTCTTTGTAAGCTCTCAGATCGTCGTGGTGGCATTTATATTTGGCAACACATGCAAGACAATATTTGAAGCTCTCATATTCTTGTTTGTGATGCACCCATACGATGTGGGTGATCGGTGTGAAATTGACGGAGTTCAGGTACCAATTTATGTTGGAACATATGTATATATTTATGTGAATATCTCCTTATTTGTGTTTTATCCCCTTCTGGTATATTTTGGGCCTAGTATGTATTTCATTGAATTTCAGATGATTGTTGAAGAAATGAATATCTTAACTACTGTCTTTCTGAGATATGACAACCAGAAGATTATATTCCCAAACAGTACTCTTTCAACAAAACCCATCAGTAATTATTATCGTAGTCCAGATATGGGAGATGCGGTTGAGTTCCATGTACATATTGCAACTCCAGCCGATAAGATTGCCATAATGAAACAAAAAATAACAAGGTAGGTTTAGGAACATCCAAGCTTTCAAATTACGATGTAATTTCTGATAATATGTTCGTATTTAATGGATTATATACTTGTTAATTATGGCTGCCATTGCAGTTATATTGAAATCAAGAAGGACCATTGGTATGCATCTCCAACAGTTGTGCTGATGGAGCTGGAGGGGCTGAACATGATGAAGATGGCAGTATGGCTGAGACATAGAATGAACCACCAAAATATGGGGGAGAAGTGGCAAAGGAGAGCCCTTTTGGTTGAACAGATGGTTACAATTTTTAAAGAGCTTGACATCGAATACCGCTTGCATCCCCTTGACATCAACATTCGCACCATGCCTACGGCGAGTTCCGCTCGGCTTCCCTCTACCTGGGAAGCTTCTCCTTCATGAGTGAGAAAACTAAATGATAGAAGATTATGAAGCTTGAGATGCTTTAATCTGCATTGATTATTTGAGGTAGCCCAAGAATTCAAATCATAGAGTTTAGCACCCCTATAGGAATTTTGGGGGGGGAGATTTTTCACCTTATCTTTTTACAATTTTTCGATCGATTGTATTCTTTTTTTTATATTGCCCTTCGGAGGAAATTCTTATTCCACTTTCCTAAGTACATTGGCACGATCAAAGGACATGTTAGCCAATCATTTAAAACAATTTTGAGCATAGCCTTGTCAACTTCATCTGCCAAATTGATGCACTGAGCCAAATTGTTTTTTTCCCCCTTGGAACAGATGATAGAATTGAAACAATGACATCTGCTTCGTTATGGCAAAATATATCACCTGATTAATATAGAAACAAAAAACGAAGACAACAAAATTTTTTAATTGATAAAATTGTAGATTCTGAAGTAATTATTTATCATCGATCAAAAAAGGATTTGAAATGGAATTATCTATATTGTTGGGGGTGACAATTTATCGTGATACATTTTTATTGAATAAAAATTAAAAATATGATATAAAATATAATATTTCCGTATCCAAACGATACTCGCACAAATCAAGAAATGGTTTCTTGTTTCCTTAGCATTGAATTAGAACTTTTTTATCCACGGTGTTAATTGAATTGAGGTTTGCAAGCTTATTTTTTGAAATAAGCCTAAAAATTATTCAATTTTAGTTTGTATAGAATTCAAGCCGAACTCAAACAGAGTCTGCGTAAATCAACTATTTTATATATAAACGAGTCTAGTCAAATAAGGCTAAAAAAATAGTTCAACTCATGAGAGAGAGAGAGACTGTGTGTCTTTTATCTGTTGGTTGATAGTGATGCAAACGAACATTTAAAACCAAGACCGAACGGTATAAGGCGAAATCCCAAAAGGACACGAAGAACAGACCAGAAACGATGTCTTCCCCAGCATAGTTATTATAATAATAACAATAAATACATAAAAACTTATTTATAACTGCCCATGCATGATCTCTCTGTTTATACATACATATAGAATGATATGTTTGATTTATTCTTTCACTTGCTTAAATCAAACCAACGAATCGAACATCCTATTTTGAGTATACATTCACAGAGTTTTCCAAAAAAAAAAAAAAATTATATTCAGAGGATGGGGAAGAGGGCGAGAACAAGCCTCGACACGGCGGTTGTCGATGTTTGGAAACGAGAAGTCGGCGAGCTCTCTACCAGAAACTTCGCTCACCGTCTCGGCGCCTCCGAGGTTTTTTTATCTTATCCTTAACCCTCTGTTGGATTTCTTTGGTTTGCCATTCACTTTTCAAATTCTTCATAGTATCTCACAACAATGTTGCGTATGGTTACCGTATTCCTAAAAGGCTCAATTTATGCACTTGTGTATGCTGATCCTATGTGCTGATGCTAACATTTGAAATTCACATTTTGCAATTTGTGTTGCTTGAGCTTGGGTGGGCATTAATTACTGTATTAATAAGAGATTGATCAAGTAGATTGTTTCAGCATTCTTGTCGAGAGGAAACATTATTCAAATTTGGTGGTTTGAGTGGTTTTATATGCTTGGATAGCTTTGAGACATATCAAGGATTTGTGGTTCAAGCTTTGCAACTCAATACTGTGTAAGCTTGCCCTGCGAAACAAGTATAGGTGCTTTTCTTGCTGAGACATTTTAGTTTAAATCCAATCCATAAATGTGATCATCCACGTGCCTTGGGGGGGGGGGGGGGGGGGACGATCCATTTAACCATGCAAGATTAACAAGTCCACCAGCAACTTTTTCTGTGATTTTTATTTTGCTAATTTAACACCTGGTGTAGAAAGATAGTTGTTATTGACTCATTGTAGTGGATTCCACCCCCATCTCATACATTTATGTCCATGGTTTTTGTATATGTGAAAGTGTATTGGCAACAATGTATATGCACTAGGCATGTCTTTATATGCACATGTCTACTGTTGGAACAACATGAATACTGAGCGCTGCAATGATGGGGAAAAAACTTCGACGTCAACTATGGTTTAGTTTCTTTTTTGTTAATTTTGTGTGAACCGTTAAAACAGGTGGTGGATCATAGTTATTGTAACTTTGGTGATGTTTGGTAGACTAAAAACTAACAAATGAAGATTTATTTATTTTTCTTAAGCCCTGAATTTTAATACCTTAAGAACCTCTAGATATGCATTGATTTTGTGACGATCCTTGCACAAAACTAAAAGTTTAATCATCACAATTTGTTTATCGGTTTCGAGTGAAGGGCGTATGAGGGTAGCACTTATCGAGGTGGATTTAAATGTCACTAGGTTGCTTGTTACTTTTATCATCACCTTCTATTTTTACAACTTTTTTGGGGCCCGTTCCATGATAAGTTGAATCATGATGCTGCAAAGAATTCAGGTCTGAATTCCTTACAAGAAGACAATGCTGTTTGGTCTTGTTTTGAGGCAGACTATGCTGTGATATACTTGGAGTGGCTGCATTGTGCTGTTTGTTTATGAATTTTTAAACACTGTCAAATGGTAAATTGTTTTGTGTCCAACAGATGTTTCTCTTGATGGTTTTTGTTTGTAATGTGTAATTCTCATTGCTCAGTACATAGGATTTTTATATCTCAACAGAGCTTTAATTCATCTTTTCCTATTTCAGGACCTTGTTCTCCGACTCGATCTCTTTAGGAAACTGGAAAACCACAGAGGTTGTGTGAACACAGTTAGCTTCAACGCAGATGGCGACATTCTTGTGTCAGGCTCTGATGTTAGGAGGGTATTATTCTGGGATTGGGAAGCTGGGCAGGTTAAACTCTCATTCCACTCAGGTCATAATCACAATGTTTTGCATGCAAAAATCATGCCCTACACAGAGGATCGAAGCATTGTTACTTGTGCTGCTGATGGGCAGGTAATTTGTTTCTTCTGGTGCTGCAGTATGAAAACATGATTTGAAACATCTATAGTTCACTTAAAGTTGGCATTTGTCTATTATTGGAATCTATTAGAAGATCTCCCAAGTATACTGATGTTAATGACATGGTGTGTGACACCCCAAAATTCAGGTGTTAGTAATTATCTGGTTAATTACCCATTAACCTGCGAAATACCCGTGGATACTGTATAATTCGTTACCACGCCGTTATGCCCCATTTACCGAGATTCATAACTTAACAAAATTTGGGCAGAGTCTTCTTTATACGGGGAGCTCTATCCAAAACGCAACATATGCAATCATATAACATTGATCACACCTGACTCATTCATCCCTACTCCTTAGCATAGTATCAGATACTACTATAATTATCATCATTACGTACATTCACTCATAAAAGAATAAATGTCTCAAAAGAGTCTCTTATACATGTCTTTTAAATATAAACAAGTTTTTTGTTACAAAAATTACACAAGGCCAAAAGTAATTATAAACAAGGGACAACGATGTCAAAAGAAGAGCCACAGACCGGCTCTGTCGTCAAAGCAGGCTCATGGCCTCGCCTTCGGTGGACGCCTGTGCAATACCTGAAAAATGTTCTCATAAAGGGTGAGCCAACGCTCAATAGGGTAACTCTTATAGAGAATACCTCTCAACCTAAATGCATATGAAATGTCACATGCAACAATTATTTCATGCATTCATTCAAACATGTCAATTATGAACAAATGTCATAAATCATGTCATGCCATAAAATGAGACTCATGCAAGCAACACCCACATCAAGCCCCATCCTGAACTCTCACAACACATGCAACGACATGCGTATATATCTAGGCATTCCAAGCCTCCGTAATTAGAGTTATGTACATTCAATGACTAATTAATTTATTTTCTTGTGTCTTTGTGTAGAGATGATTTATGGTATTACACCAATGAGACACCAATCATTAACGGATTCTTAGAACATCCCACCTGCGGTGCCGTTTTGGCCGTTACACTTTTCGGAAATTTTACCGCCGAAAAGTGTATAAACCAAGTAAGCGGGTCTTGCACCCGAGGGAGAATCTAACCTTTCTTGCTATTCCCGACACGTTTATCCATTTAATTTTTCGTGTGACTCAGCCGGACCTTGATGCGACTTTTTCGAGCCCATAATCAACCACTTATGTGGTGATTGATTTCATCACATGCATACATTCTCACTCATGTCAATGCTCATGAATGTAATATAACTCATGCATAATAATATTTCAATGTGCAATTGCCTTTAATACTATTTACAATGTTCATTACATAAAGAATACAATATAATGACATTTTCAACATGACAACATGTTTATCAATTCTATAAACGTAAGCACAAGTCCACCACAACAATTATATGCTAAATAATCATTTAACATACATATTATTCCATAATAAGCTAATAATTTTATTAAACTTGATATGTCATTTAAAACATATAATAATGCTAATGTACAATTAACATGTTTTAAACCACTAACATTAACTTACACCAAGTTAATCATAATAGGATTTTTCTAATTACAAAGTTAATTATAAATTATATATTTGACCCACTAGTTACACTAGTTAAGACTTAACATGCGATATACACCTATAGTCTACTCATTTCGTATGCTATATTTTAGGTTAAAAGTAAATCTAAATAGGGGAAACCCTACCTCTCGTAACGTGAGCACACGTACTGAAATTTCGAGTAAGCCCAATTTAACTTCCCAAATTTTAAGTCTAAATTATCGTCTTTGATATTCTTTTAGAGAAAAATATGATATTTGGTGTGGTTGCGTAACTCTCGCTGAGTAGAGCAACTTTAATTCTTGACTCGAAGCGATTAAACGGGTCAATCTTCGTAGATCTGAGAATGAAAAAAAAATAAAAAATAAAACAATATTCACCTTTCTCTCTCTCACTCTCTCGACAGCACACTGGAAGAAGAAAAGTGGCAGTCAAACACTTATATATATAGTATAACTTTATTTTTTTAGAAATTTATATTTTTAACCCATAATTTAACCATTAATTATTATTTTATCTCTTAAATTAAGATTTTTAATAATAATAATACTATTTTCTTTTTTACCATATTTTACATGGTGTGTGGGTTTATGTCCTTTCATAAGAAAAAATGGACGACCCAGTGGCTAGTGCACCAGGGTCCGGGGAGGTTGAATTTATGTAGTCTTATCGTGCATGCGGGGCTGATGTTTTTTTCAAAGTAAAACAAGGCGTGGGATAGTAAGTTACCCTCACAAGTAAATGGACTTGGTAAATTTTATGATGTGAAGTGGATGATAACATGACAGCAACATTATTATCAAAGATCTGCCATCCTATTTCAATATTCTATCAGGTTTAGAAAGTGTTGTGGTGTGTTATTGTGTTTCATAATTTACAATATGGTTTTTATTCTATCAGCTTTAAACACTATATATATATTTGTTCTTGATCAGAATATTGTTTCTTTAGGTGAGACATGCTGAAGTTCTAGAAAATGGCCAAGTGGAGACTAAATTGCTGGCGAAACATCAAGGGCGGGCCATTAAATTGGCCATTGAACCTGGCAGTTCTCATATATTTTATACTTGCGGTGAAGATGGATTGGTTCAGCATGTGAGTTTACCTTGTTGAGCCTCATTTAGACTCTGTATTTCCTTGTTCTCTTTCACTAATCTAGGCCTTTTTTGATAAAGCTGGACAGCTGTTTGTAGCAGATGAATGGTGAAGATCGTCTGCCTGACGAGTCTCTTGTTAAGGCCCTTTTGGTTGGGATTTAATATCCTTTAAACCCGCAGACAAATACACACAATCGAAGAATAAATAAAAAATATAAAGCAATAAGAAATAAGAAAGAACAAGATACATAGATTTTACGTGGTTCGACAATTTGTCTCTAACTGCAGGGATTTCATTATTGAGAGAGAGAAGTACAGAGGGCGGCTATACAGTTCCAAACCAGTAGTTCATCTAAATGCAATTGCCATTGATCCGCGGAATCCTAATTTGATTGCGGTCGCGGGATCAGACGAGTATACTCGACTCTATGATTTCCGCAAACATCGATGGGGCAGCTCAACTGATTTTGGTCATCCAACTGAGTTCTTTTGCCCCCCACATTTAATTGGTGACAAGCATGTGGGAATAACAGGATTGGCATTCTCGGATCAGGGCGAGCTTCTTGTTTCTTACAATGATGAATTCATCTATCTTTTCACAACGGAAATGGGATGGGGGCACGATCCAGTCATGATCTATGGGCTGTGACACAGGTAAAACGGGACTTTATCCTCATTCTGTGGCATTTCCAACGGATCTAGATGGTGATTCGAAAGTTGGTCCCCGAGTTTATAAGGGGCACAAGAACTGTGACACGGTGAAAGGTGTGAACTTCTTCGGGCCTAAATGTGACTATATTGTTAGTGGGTCAGATTGTGGCCGGATTTTCATTTGGAAGAAGAGTGGGGAGCTCATTCGTGTCGTGGAAGCAGATAATCATGTCGTGAACTCTATCGAGTCTCATCCTCATACAACTGTACTTGCAAGCAGCGGAATTGAGCATGCTATAAAAGTATGGACACCAAAATGCATTGATAGGGCTACTCTGCCTGCAAATATTGGAGAGGTATGTTCCACTGTACTAAACTAACTTTTGAATCTTGCCATCTTTAAGTGGCATCGCTGTTTTGGTTCTTAAGCCTTTGCAAAAATATTAAACTCAAATCAATAGAGAAAAGTACTCTGGGGAAGGCTTATTTTTTAATGTACTCTCTGCCAGACACTGGCACCCATAATTGGAAAGGAAACCTTGGTGCATTCAGATGACATATGTCTGAAAGACTGAAAGGGCAAACAGGTTGGAAGGGAGTTAAAATTTGTGTCTATGGTGCTCCTGCTCATATATCCATTTTAAGTTAACCTTTCACCCTATATGCTTAGTATTAGGATGTTTTTGGAGTAATTATTGAGAAACAATCCTGTTACCGGACTTCCCTTTTGGGAGCAGAGACTCCACATGCAACATTGGTGACCTGGATTTGCTTGATTTCTTTTATTATGTCCACCCACTGCATATTGATAGCTTTCATCTTTTACTTTCAGCATCACTTATGATGAGTTGATTTTCCATTTTGAATTTTGTAATACAAAGGCGTTTATCTCCACAAACTATATGCGCAACAGTAGAAGTTCTAATTTCTCTACTTTCTTGTATAAGGTTGTGATATGTGATCGGATTCCATTCTTTCCCTTTGGCTACTTTGGTAATGATGTTGATGTCAATGACTTCTTCTTTTACTATGATGATGATAACAAACGATAGCGATTACGACAAGGATGATGAGGAGGGCGGTCGTGGAGATTCCCATTATAACGAAGATGATGTGGTGATTTTGGTGATTACTATGATGATTTTGTCTTTGGTGGCATTGATAATGACTATGATGATTTTTCAAGCAATAATGATGATTTGACTAGGATGGATGCTATAATGATGAAAATGATAATGATAAGAGGGATTATGATAATTTTATTAGTGATGATGATGATGATCCTAATCATACGCTTGTGCTGATGATTTTGCACTTTCTGTTTCCAGCAGAGACCCAAGGCAAGGGTCAGGTTGCATGGCGTATTTTCACCTGAGGACCTTATGATGCAATAGTTTTCCCTGCCAAGGTGAAGGTCAAATCTGGAGTGGAATGGAGAGAATTCAACTGCTGAATGCCAACAGTGGTGGTTCATTGGATAAACGTAGAGATAACTACAGTGCTGAAGACTTTTTGCGGCGATTTTGCAGCAACCTTTGTTAGAAAAAAGAACTATGGTAATTGTACAAAATACACGCTCAAGTTCAACTCTTTGATGTGGCTTTGGTTACTTGCAATATTTTTTCCCAGTTTTGTTTTCCTAGCTTTTTGGTATCATTGAATATACCATTCATCTTTGTTCATTCTGTGAGGGATCGACCTCCCCATTATCGGGGATATACCTCCCTCCAAGAGGGATCCTCCCCATTACCGGGGATATACCTCCCTCCAAGAGCAATCCTCCCCATTACCGCGGATATCCCGCTCTCCATCAAAGGATTTCGGCTGACCTGCGGGGCAAACCCCCACAGTAGCCTTTACCTCTGTCCCACATCGGGGAAAGAGTCGTCTCCCCACTCCCATATAAGCCGAAGCACCATATGAGAGCAGTACCCAAGTATTCGGCTTATATGGGGGTGGGGAGACGACTCTTTCCCCGACGTGGGACAGAGGTAAAGGCTACTGTGGGGGTTTGCCCCGCAGGTCAGCCGAAATCCTTTGATGGAGAGCGGGATATCCCCGGTAATGGGGAGGATTGCTCTTGGAGGGAGGTATATCCCCGGTAATGGGGAGGTCGATCCCTCACACATTCATCTGTTTTTCAGTTCTTTGTTCATTAAAATCATAAAATGCAGTTATCTAAGATGTCTACTTCCATGGAGGGTAAGAAACTTCTTTCGCTGACGTGGCAGTGCTGATAAATTCATCCATAGCTTTGACAGCTGATCCTTTAAAGCCTTCTCCCTCTCTAATTGCCTCTTCCATCTTTTCTCTGATTGCATGGGCCTTACTTCTCAGCTCCTCACCTTTTCCTGTCTTGTCCATCACCATCTTGATGACACTTGCAATATGATCATGTCTTATAACTTCAGAAGTGTTCCCTTCTCGTAGCTCAAAACAAACACCTACTTATTTTTCAAGCAAATGAGAGTTAAAGAACTGCTCTCCAGCCAGTGGCCACCCAATTATTGGTACACCTTGACACAGACTCTCAAGAACAGAGTTCCAACCACAATGGCTGAGGAATGCACCCATAGATACGTGAGACAGAATTTCCTGTTGTGGCGCCCATTGATGTACCAATAGTCCCCGCTTCAATTTCTTCATCCGTTCCTCAAGTCCATCAGGCAGCCACTCAGTTCTAAATTCTTCTGTCAAGATGAACCCCACCGGTGGCCTAGCAACCCATATAAAAGCCTTGCCGCTTGCCTCTAAACCCATAGCCAATTCTTTCATTGTGAAGGTGAGATACTGCTCTGTGATCCAAAGTAGACATAGAGTACTGAAGCAGGTGGATGAGTATTGAGCCATTCAGAGTAACTATTAGCATTGCTCGAGAGTCTTTCATTTTTTATCATGAGAGTCGAGACTGGTCCGATTGTCCACACTGGCTTTCCCCCTGTTTTCCTGCTAAAATATTTTACACCATTTTGTCCCAACCCCTCTATGGTATTCAATAAGATTGCGTCTGAATGTAAGCAATACATGAACTGACGCTTACGGAAACCAAACCAGGCCTCAGCAGCATCCATGTATTTGAGATCATTGGGAGTTCGTGCCCGATGAATTTTGGATGCTTCAGGGAAATCAGGCAGTGAAAATTCCTCGTCATTTGTTTGCCACAAGGATGTGTTCAGAGAAATGGAAAAGTAAATTGCCATGCTGTAGCCAACCCCTGCTATGAACACTGAATGAAATATCCCAAGCTCATTTGCAACTTTAACCGTCCACCCCAAGAACATATCTGAGATAATGCACACTGGTGCATAGCCATCACGTTCAGTGATTTCCATAAGGAGGTTCTTAAGGGGTGATTCAAGATTTTCTGAGGCCTCCAAGAGGCAAAAACCATCAACATCAGACAACATATATGTGTTTTCTGAGTCAGGTGGAAGGCCATAGTCGGTGGCACAAAAGGGGATTTCAGCAAGGCGTATGCATGTTTCAGGAGGGAGTGAGGATCTGAGCCTTTGGATGTTTAAAGGTGTATTGACAATGGTGATTGTATAACCCTTCCTTAGCTCTAATTGCCGTGCAAGTGCCAAGAAAGGAATGAGATGGCCTTGAGCCATAAATGGAAACATCACAATGTTACTTTGGTTCCTACCTTCAGCCATCTCTTAGAGATAAGGGGTCTAGAAGTGTAGTGCATTGCTCTTGTTTGCATTCATCTGTTTATTTATAGTATGCACACGTAAGAAACAACCAAGGATTATAGGATCTTGAAAAATGGGCTTTTTATCTGTGTGTACATGTTTTTGCTGTTGTCTTTTTTAGAAAATTGTAAGACTAATTTCGGCAAGGTATCCACTGCCTCTGGCTTTGTGATTTAAAAAAGCATTGATATTTGACAGGGATTAAGCTTTGGCTTTTATGCTGTCTACAACAGGAATTCTGTATACATTGCATTCATCTGTTTATTACCTAAGAAACAACCAAGGATTATAGGATCATGAAAAATAGGCTTTTTATCCGTATGTGTACAGGTCTTTGCTATTGTCTTTTGTAGAAAATTGTAAGACTAATTCCGGCAGGGTCTCTGCTGCCTCTGGCTTTGTGGTTTTAAAATGAATTGCATTTTGACAGAGTGTAAGTTTGGCGTTTATGTTCTAGAAGTTGTTATTGACCAATATAGTTCAATAAGCAAAGAAAGATAGGAATGTCCTTTCCCTGTGTTTTTTCTTTCATTTGAAACATTGAGAAGTTCCAGGATTTGAGCATGGGTATTGAGGCAATCTGATTGGGAATTGGGAAATTTACCCCTGGCTAAGATCAATTTTTTCATCAATCTTCCAGGAGCTGGATTTAAACTTTAGATGGTGGTTGAGTTGAGACAATACAGTTCCTCTCTCTTTATGTGTTTGTGTTCAATTTTTTTTTTTGGTTCTTGACGTTGGTATTACTTTATATGCAGCGTTTTGAATCCAAACATAGAAACTTCGAGGACATCAAAATTTTGTTTTAATACATGAGCGGGTGGCATCTAATGATTGCAAGGGAGTAATGATGACAATGAAAGAAAAGCAAGAAATACAATAACGATAATAGTATGATCTAAAAAAAAAAAACGAGGTTACACTAGCTGAATTTTATCCATTCAAATAAATCTTTGGATCATCTACAATTGCCCAAAATCAGGAGAGATTATTATTGCTAAAAAAGACATTTGCATGCCCAATAAAGCTAAGAGAATGCAGACCTAAGTTTGTCTCCTGGATATAACCCAGACAATTGTATGCCATACTTATAGGTGATATACTCTTCTAGTTGAAGAAAGTTTTTTCCCCCCAATATTGGGTCAAATTGATTTTCATACAAAAGGGCAGTTAAGCTTTGCAACAGTACCGATGGCCATTGTTCTTTGTGTTCTTCTAGGTATCTTTGTGAGTATTTGAACGAATAAGATTACTCCTAGGCTGCCAGCCAGATATGTCTTCTTTTTGACACTATTTAAATCCTCACAACTAGGCAACCGTGTAGTCCTTAATGCTGATTTTGCCTCTAGAACTATGGGGAGCAGCCTTGATCATTGTACTTGCAATAAAGGCCATCATCTGCACAGTGACAACTTCAAAGTATTAGATAGAAATAGAATGATGATCGATAATATAGCTGCATGAGAGGAAACCTTGATGTATTCCTGTTTCCATATCACCAGAAAAAAAAACATAAGAGAACGTAGCTTCCCCTGCCCCACGAAAAAGAGACCCTTTTTTTAATTAGTTTATTTAAGGAGACAATAAATTAAAAATCTAAATTAGGTTAGTTTACTTACAAAAAAAACTAGGTTAGCTTGTTGACAAGGGTAGATGTAAGTTTTTCAAATTCTCTCACACCCATAAAAGAAACCTTTTTTTTTTTTTGGCCGTTGTGGACTATCAAGTTATAAGTCCCCTTTTGGTAACTCAAGCTATTATGTATTAGAAAATTCCCAATTTACCCTCAAGTTTATTAGTTCGAAATGTTGAAAATTCAAGTAGAGGAATTACTAGAGGTAGAGGGAGCTTTGGTAATTCATTCTTCCCCTTTGCGAATATCATCAGCCCCTTAATATATAGTCCTCCAGCAGGTAACTTGAAAATAAAAAGTATATCTTGTTGCATTAGCAGAAATGGAAAGAAATGTACAGCTTATTTCGAACTAACTTCTTGATATTTTCTTCTTCTTCCAGCCGATTGCGCTCCATTTCATTTCCCTGGTTTCAGTGTCATGTGCATAGGACTTGCTTGGGTAAGTCATCTACTGCAAAAAACCGATGGACCTTGATTTTATAGTTCTCCAATAAATTCATAAGATGGAATGGTCATTGTTACTACATGTAATGGATTGATCCATGATAGGAATATATCATCCATTCCACTGTAGAGGAATTATTCTCCTTATTTGGCCTTTTTATCTGTTTTTCTGAAATACATCCTTGGCCATCCCCTGAAAAAAAATGAAAGAAATAGCATGTAAGTGCTAGTAATGAAAGAACGATAATAATGGAGAATTCTTAAGAAGGTGGTTAGACAATCAACACACAGAACCGAACCTACTTGACAATCATTGTAAGCCTTCTCCAAAAGAAAGAAAGAAAAACCTGATGATTTTCCAAATACTCAACCGAATTGGTTAAGTTTTGAATGCTTCTGCATATTGAACATAATGTTTTGGAAGAGCCAACGAAATATGTAGGTTGTGTCTACGGAATTCTAAAACAGATTGATTTCAATATACAACAATTAAGAATTTAAAGCCTGTTATAGGAAAGAACTACCTGCTCCGTGGGCTCAACTTGTTTAAATACAATGCTTCATAGCTGCATAAGTTAAAAAATCTCATAAAAGTCATAGCAGTTTTTGCGGTGATTTTGCAGCAACCTTTGTTAGAGAAAAGAGCTGTGGTAATTGTACAAAATACACGCTCAAGTTCAACTCTTGGATGCGGCTTTGGTTACTTGCAATATTTTTTCCCAGTTTTGTTTTCCTAGCTTTTCGGTAACATTGAATATACCATTCATCTTTGTTCATTCATCTGTTTTTCAGTTCTTTGTTCATTAAAATCATTAAATGCAGTTATCTAAGAAGTCTACTTCCATGGAGGGTATGAAACTTCTTTCCCTGACGTGGCAGTGCTGATAAATTCATCCATAGCTTTGACAGATGATCCTTTAAAGCCTTCTCCTTCTCTAATTGCCTCTTCCATCTTCTCTCTGATTGCATGGGCCTTACTTCTCAGCTCCTCACCTTTGCCTGTCTTGTCCATAACCATCTTGATGACACTTGCAATATGATCATGTCTTATAACTTCAGAAGTGTTCCCTTCTCGTAACTCAAAACAAACACCTACTTCTTTTTCAAGCATATGAGAGTTAAAGAACTGCTCTCCAGCCAGTGGCCACCCGATTATTGGTACACCTTGACACAGACTCTCAAGAACAGAGTTCCAACCACAATGGCTAAGAAATGCACCCGTAGATACGTGAGACAGAATTTCCTGTTGTGGCGCCCATTGATGTACCAATAGTCCCCGCTTCAATTTCTTCATCCGTTCCTCAAATCCATCAGGCAGCCATTCAGTTCTAAATTCTTCTGTCAAGATGAACCCCACCGGTGGCCTAGCAACCCAAATAAAAGCATTGCTGCTTGCCTCTAAACCCATAGCCAATTCTTTCATTTGTGAAGGTGAGATACTGCTCTGTGATCCAAAGCAGACATAGAGTACTGAAGCAGGTGGATGAGTATTGAGCCATTCAGAGTAACTATTAGCATTGCTTGAGAGTCTTTCATTTTTTATCATGAGAGACGAGACTGGTCCGATTGTCCACACTGGCTTTCCCCCTGTTTTCCTGCTAAAATATTTTACACCATTTTGTCCCAACCCCTCTATGGTATTCAATAAGATTGCGTCTGAATGTAAGCAATACATGAACTGACGCTTACGGAAACCAAACCAGGGCTCAGCGGCATCCATGTATTTGAGAGCATTGGGAATTCGTGTCCGACGAATTTTGGTTGCTTCAGGGAAATCAGGCAGGGAAAATTCCTCGTCATCTGTTTCCCACAAGGATGTGTTCAGAGAAATGGAAAAGTAAATTGCCATGCTGTAGCCAACCCCTGCTATGAACACTGAATGAAATATCCCAAGCTCATTTGCAACTTTAACCGTCCACCCCAAGAACATATCTGAGATAAGGCACACTGGTGCAAAGCCATCACGTTCAGTGATTTCCATAAGGAGGTTCTTAAGGGGTGATTCAAGATTTTCCGAGGCCTCCAAGAGGCGAAAACCATCATCATCAGACAACATATATGTGTTTTCTGAGTCAGGTGGAAGGCCATAGTCGGTGGCACAAAAGGAGATTTCAGCAAGGCGTATGCATGTTTCAGGAGGGAGTGAGGATCTGAGCCTTTGGATGTTTAAAGGTGTATTGACAATGGTGATTGTATAACCCTTCCTTAGCTCTAATTGCCTTGCAAATGCCAAGAAAGGAATGAGATGGCCTTGAGCCATAAATGGAAACATCACAATGTTACTTTGGTTCCTACCTTCAGCCATCTCTTAGAGATAAGGGGTCTAGAAGTGTAGTGCATTGTTCTTGTTTGCATTCATCTGTTTATTTATAGTATGCACACATAAGAAACAACCAAGGATTATAGGATCTTGAAAAATGGGCTTTTTATCTGTGTGTACAGTTTTTGGCTATTGTCTTTTTTAGAAAATTGTAAGACTAATTCCGGCAAGGTATCCACTGCCTTTGGCTTTGTGATTTTAAAATGCATTGATATTTGACAGGGATTAAGCTTTGGCTTTTATGTTGTCTACAACAGGAATTCTGTATACATTGCATTCATCTGTTTATTACATAAGAAACAACCAAGGATTATAGGATCATGAAAAATGGGTTTTTTATCAGTATGTGTACAGGTCTTTGCTATTGTCTTTTGTAGAAAATTGTAAGACTAATTCCGGCAGGGTATCTGCAGCCTCTGGCTTTGTGGTTTTAAAATGAATTGCATTTTGATAGAGTGTAAGTTTGGCGTTTATGTTCTAGAAGTTGTTATTGACCAATACAGTTCAATAAGCAAAGAAAGATAGGAATGTCCTTTGCCTGTGTTTTTTCTTTCATTTGAAACATCAGGAAGTTCCAAGGTTTGAGTATGGGTATTGAGGAAATCTGATTGGGAAATGGAAAATTTACCCCTGGTTAAGATCAATTTTTTCATCAATCTTCTTGGAGCTAGATTTAAACTTTAGATGGTGGTTGAGTTGAGACAATACAGTTCCTCTATCTTTATGTGTTTGTGTTCAAATTTTTTTTTTGGTTCATGAAGTTGGTATTACTTTATATGCAGCGTTTTGAATCCAAACATAGAAACTTTGAGGACATCAAAATTTTGTTTTAATGCATGAGCGGGTGGCATCTTATGATTGCAAAGGAGTAATGATGATAATGAACGAAATAACAAGAAAAACGAGAAATACAATGACGATAATAGTATGAGCTAAAATAAATAAAAAAGGTTACACTAGCTAAATTTGATCCATTCAAAAAAATCTTTGGATCATCTACAATTGCCCAAAATCAGGAGAGAATATTATTGCTAAAAAAGACATTTGCATGCCCAATAAAGCTAAGAGAATGCAGACCTAAGTTTGTCTCCTGGATATAACCCAGACAATTGTATGCCATACTTATAGGTGATATACTCTTCTAGTTGAAGAAAGTTTTTTCCCCCCAATATTGGGTCAAATTGATTTTCATACAAAAGGGCAGTTAAGCTTTGCAACAGTACCGATGGCCATTGTTCTTTGTGTTCTTCTAGGTATCTTTGTGAGTATTTGAACGAATAAGATTACTCCTAGGCTGCCAGCCAGATATGTCTTCTTTTTGACACTATTTAAATCCTCACAACTAGGCAACCGTGCAGTCCTTAATGCTGATTTTGCCTCTAGAACTATGGGGAGCAGCCTTGATCATTGTACTTGCAATAAAGGCCATCATCTGCACAGTGACAACTTCAAAGTATTAGATAGAAATAGAATGATGATCGATAATATAGCTGCATGAGAGGAAACCTTGATGTATTTCTGTTTCCATATCACCAGGAAAAAAACATAAGATAACGTAGCTTCCCCCGCCCCATTAAAAAGGGACCCTTTTTTTAATTAGTTTATTTAAGGAGACAATAAATTAAAAATCTAAATTCCAGTGGAGAAGAATGAATTACCAAAGCTCCCTCTACCTCTAGTAATTCCTCTACTTGAATTTTCAACATTTCGAACTAATAAACTTGAGGGTAAATTGGGAATTTTTTAATAAATAATAGCTTGAGTTATCAAAAGGGGATTTAAAACTTGATGGTCCACAAGGGCAAAAAAAAGAGGTTTCTTTTATGGGTGTGATAGAATATGAAAAACTTACATCTACCCTTATCAACAAGCTAACCTAGTTTTTTTTTTTTGTAAGTAAACTAACCTACATATATGATTGAAGAGCCTTGAAAAACAGATAAATAGGCCAAATAAGGAGAATAATTCCTGTACGGTGGAATGGATGACATATTCCTATCATGGATCAATCCATTGCATGTAGTAACAATGACCATTCCATCTTATGAATTTATTGGAGAACTATAAAATCAAGGTCCATCGGTGGTTTTTTGCAGTAGATGACTTACCCAAGCAAGTCCTATGCACATGACACTGAAACCAGGGAAATGAAATGGAGCTCGATCGGATAAAAATAGAGCTGGAAGAAGAAGAAAATAACAAGAAGTTAGTTCGAAATAAGTTTTACATTTCTTTCCATTTCTGCTAATGCAACAAGATATACTTTTTATTTTCAAGTTACCTGCTAGAGGACTATATATTAAGGGGCTGATGATATTCGCAAAGGAACTCACGCCTGAAATACATCCTTGAGCCATCCCCTGAAAAAAAATGAAAGAAATGGCATGTAAGTGCTTGTAATGAACGAACGATAATAATGGAGAATTCTTAAGAAGGTGGGATGACAATCAACACACAGAACCGAACCTACTTGACAATCATTGTAAGCCTTCTCCAAAAGAAGGACAAAGCTTGATGATTTTCCAAATACTCAACCGAATTGGTTAAGTTTTGAATGCTTCTGCAAATTGAACATGATGTTTTGGAAGAGCCAACGAAATAGGTAGGTTGTGTCTATGGAATTCTAAAACAGATTGATTTCAATATACAACAATTAAGAATTTAAAGCCTGTTATAGGAAAGAACTACCTGTTCCATGGGCCCAACTTGTTTCGATACAATGCTTCGTAGCTGCATAAGTTAAAAAAACTCATAAAAATCATAGCAGTTTTTTTTTTGTGAGTAACAGTCAAAATAGCTAAACCAGCTGAGAATAGGTGATTCAATGAACTTACACTTGGGGTTGCAACTGATGTGAAAACATAGAACCCAGCTACTGCATAAGGAACCTGCAGAATTTTGTAAATGTTCATAAAAATTATATACAACCCTTGTATTTTTGGGAACAAATTTCCTAGCAATAAAGCTGGTAAATAAAGGACTTACCCAGACTGACCATGCTATGCTGTTAAGTAGCATCTGCATGATACCAATACAAAATCATCAGCATATAATTGATGTACAACTCTCTCTCTCTCTCTCTCACTGTGACAGGAGGCACATACGTTCAAAAATCCAGCAAACAGCCCTATGGAAAGCAATTTCTCCTCTCCTATGATGGGAGCAAATGTAGGCATGAGAAGCAGCTGCATGAGTTCCCAAATATTTATGAGTCATCACACAACCATAGCAAGGACCATTTAATAACCATTTAATAAGAAATGGGGAAAGTACGATATATAGATTGTAGTAGCAAAACTTGTCAGCACAAAATCATATAAAACTTACCTGTGAAAAGGTCCCTCCAATGTTGACAATCAGCATTAGATCAGCAAATTGGTCTTTGTTGAAGTGAAACTGGGCCTTGAAGAAATACTGCACAAGGATAGAACATTTAGACGCTATCGAAAAATTTTGGTTGCATATTGAGTGTGCATGTATATACCACTGTACAAGGCTGAACTTAAGAGTCAAGTTTATAATAGCAGCAGTAACAGGAGCAGCAAATTCGGACAATGTGGTTTGTGCAAGTAATATGCTAATCACGTAATAGCATATGCCTTTGAGCTTTATCAACGAACTCATATTAGGATGACCCAATATTCTGCTTCATGAAGGAAAAATTCCTCTTTTTCCTTTCCTTATATAATTACAACTTGATATGTAATTTAATTGCAGCTTCGTCTAAAAGGGCATTTCAACTAGTTAGTTCATTCTAATGTCATAGATATTTTATCTACTACACATTCTATCCACTTTTTTTCTGGCCATTGTTCCAAGCTCTTCCTTAGTGTTCATAATGCCTCACAGCTTATCTATCTTGTTTAAATGGAATATAGTGAAAATTTGTTGTCAGGAGCTCATATGGGCTTCTAATGCCCGTTGGTGTTTTACGTCCTCAATGGTTTCCTTTTGGTCAATAATTTGCAAATCATTGGAGGGAAAAGTAATGTCTGTAAGGAAAAGATGTACCAGTAAAGAAGCATGAAGTCCACCCTCTGCAAGACTATTGAAGAAAGCAACAAATGCTGCTCGAGAAAATGTACCACTGCAGGAAGAGGAATACAAGTTATAACAGTGTGCATTTAAGAGTAAGCACCCATTGAGAATAACAAAATGAAGCACATTTTGCTGATGTCCTACCATTCAATGAAAATCTTCTATAGCATTTGTAAAGACTGATTAGGTAAGCTTTACTGTGAAGATATCAAGGCTCCAAATAGAAATCAAATTTGTCTTACCTACTGCTGAGCAAGCAAATAAGCTCACCCATTGATGAGATTCTTTTGAAGACCTGTATCTTCTTAGATGATTCTTCATCTGACTTGGTAACATCTGATCCACTCTTCAACATTGGCTGCACCAAAGCATCATTAATTCGGTTCGTGTCCTTGAGGAAAAGTCTCATGTACACCACTGCAGCCATTGCTACAAATGCAGCAACCTGAATGAGACAACATTTCATATCACAACCTATTCTTAGCTAGCCACAAGTAAAGATGTGGCAAAGATTTAAGGAATGAAGAAGGAACTCAAACTCATCCCAAGTTGGAAAACTAAAAAAAAAAAAGAACTTTCTCAACACGAATGCATCAACAAAACGAAGATTTAAGGAATGGAGAAAGGAAAATGACCTGAAATGTCTGGGCAGTGGAGAGAAAACGAGTAGCTAAGGTACCACATACGATTGCAGCGGTACCTACGCCAGTTAGAACTCCAATTGCTGAGACTCGCTTTCCCTCTGAAATGTTGTCTGCCTGAGAAAAATGAAATGAGATTGTAGTTTGATAAAGTTGGCATTTTGAGGTGTAGGCAGGGTTTAAATGGTAATAACTTGAACGTATAGAAAGGTTTTGGATGATTTAAAGTACCACATAAGCAAGAGCAAGGCACTGAACGCTGCCTTCGCTTGTCATGGCAGTGAGAGTCCTGAACACATAGTAGACATAGAAATAGGTTGTCGATCGGCTGTATGCCAATATAACTGTAAAACAATGTCATTCTAATTATCAGTATCAATTATCAAATACATACCAAGGGTTATTGAAGTAAATTAGAATGTGTTCCACTAAGTGGCTTTTGCATTGAAGTC